AAATTTTATGTCCGTTTTCTGTGGCATCCCTTACATGATTTCCTTTCATGTGAAGGGTTTGTAGTGGAGTCAAACCTTGACCTGTTTAGACCACACTTTGGGATTAATGTCAAGTAATAAGGTGCATTAGTAGGACCATGTTTTGGTAGATATGGTGACAGGTCGGCCTGTTTCCTATGGTTCAAAAATTAGTAATAATGGTCAGTAAGCAGTTAGCTGAACCGTTATATTTATCTGAAAAACAAACATTTCACACCAGACACAGGAAAGAGCATTATTTTTTAGGTCAGTGTGTCAGAGTCTATGATGTGTATTTAAAGGCATGTTAACGCATGAGAACAGCATTATACAGGAAGTATGAATGATGAAAACGGAGGAAATAGGCAGAAGTATAAGTCTCTTTGTACTTATGAATTGAATCATGGCATTATATTTGTCTCAATTTATATATGAAGTATAATAATTAATTACTATTATTTCATTCATGTTTATTTAAAAAAGGAATAAGATATAATAAAAATTCAGGAAAATAATCTCCAAAATCAAATGCCAGTACATTAATTGGTAAGAAGAATTTTTTTGTTATGTTTGATAATTGTTGTGATGGGTTTATATCTGACAAGGTGTTGTTTCTAGGGGGTCATACAAGTGTTGGTCCTCCCGTGACATGGAACTACAGAAGTAAACATCAGAGATAGTACAGTGTTAATCACTTCCATTTATGTTGAAACACCTGATGGTCATTACTGTATAGCCATTACAGGAGTCTACGGCTAAGGCCTCCACCACTGGGAGCACCTGCCCGTGAATTCTAAAACTTATACAGCTGGGGATTGAGTTGTAATCTAGATTTTTTTTTCCTCTCCTGATATCAAGGACCAGTAGAAGAGAGTGTGTAAGAAATAAACGTGCCTGTGTAACAGAAGCAGTAGTGAATATTTTGATAAATCCCCACTCCCAGTCAGGTCAGACTACGAGAGTGTGTGTGTTGTGTTTTCTCCATTATCAGACTGGCTAGAGAAAGAGAGTGTTCTAATCTTGACTCTGCCAGTGTACAATGTGTCGCACAGAGGGAGAACCTTAATGAAATCCTCCACTGATCTGCCAAGGACACACAAACTGACCACAATGAGTCCAGCGGGTGCCCTCAGGAGATAAGGCTCCCCCAGTCACTTAGTGTTGACCCAGTGGTGATAATATTGTGGAACCTTATCTAACCTTGTCAGAGAAGGGAACTATGTTGTTGGGGGGAGGGGAGGGTTAGGAGGCCCGCTGAGGGGGGACCATGCTGCCTTTTACTACATGTGTGTGTGGGAGACAGCGGTGGACCGTTATACAGGGGAGGATTAAGCTGGTTCACTCACATTCAGAGGACACAGAGGTAAGTCAGGGCCGATCAAAATCAGTCTAATTCAATGCCTGCACTGGAAGTCTTGGTGGATTTTCAATGGTATTATAGCTAGCAATTTTTAGATACAGAATTAGAGGTAAAAGCTTTTTGATAGGATTAAGTTTTCAAAATAAATTCCATATTGAGTTAATGAACTCCATAGAGAGGACAGGCATAAATCAATCACGGGTCATCAATAACCCAGCACACAGGGCAGAATATGAGTGAAGGAGGTTGTAATGATGTGTGGTGAGCTGTGGTGAGTTGGGCTGAGGTCAACGTTTGCTTGAGATCCTTCGGGCCTGTTGTTTTAGTTAGAGATCCTGCAGTGAGGGATGAATGTTGTTGTGTTCACCGTGGCTTCTTAGTGTGTATGTGCAGAGATAAATTTGATTCATGACTAAAAGAGAAGCAGCCAGGGAACTCGGTCAAGACATTCAGTTTGGTTTGGGTCAGGATTAGGACAATCCATATACATGTAGTAGGAGTCGGGTCAGTCCTCAAGAAACTGATCTCATCAGGAGGGATATAACTCAAGGTTCAGATACTCAGTGAGAGTTTCAGCTTTATTGGAATTTGAGGCAGTATGTGAAATCTCTGGCAGATATCAGAGATGTCTGTACACTGTATATACTGAACTATATTAAAATCTGACCTCAGGCTGACAGAAGAACATTTACTTAGGAAGTGTGTAAAGGTCAGATTTTATTATCTGTATCTGAGAAAGCATGCAATTTTATTGCTCAAAAACTATTATCTTGTATTGATTTAGCTTAGTGTGAATCTTAAGATGATGTGAAGATTTGATTGATGTAATGCAAATATTTCCCAGTGAGGCAGGACAAATTAATGCAGATTCTGATAAGGGAGTTTGGTTAATTCTGTGTCTGAAGGAGAGAGTTCAGTTCCCAGCATATGTATGTAGGCCTCATTGAAAGATGATTTATGGAGTTAACGTAATCAAACATATGTGTTTCCATTTGTAATGAAGTCTTTTTAAATATCAGCTGATTGAATATATATTATAATGCCTGAGTTCCCCTGCATTAAGTGTCATTAGTCATAAAGTGATATATGATTGATCTCACTGATGAAGGAACTGTCAAAAACTCTGATGCAGACAGAAGCCCTGTACTGTAGAATAAACTGTAGAATAAACTACAGAAATACTACAGGCTACAGTTACATTAAGCTCTCCATTAACCAGTTTTAAAATTTTTTTTCTCAAAAATGACTCCATTTAGTTAGTATAGCATTAAGTTGTCAATTTTGTTTCACCTGTTTATCAATTTTTAAAGAAGTATATGAGGACATTTAAATCCAGGTAAGGGACCTGCCTTGATGGGCTTTTTAACTTTGGGCCTAGCAGTAGATCCCTGTCAATGGTTTGAGATAAATAGCGGCAGACTTCAGAAAGGCCATTATATCATACGATACATAGCAGGTGCCCCCTGAGCCAGCGATATGACGTCTTTGTGGACCTAGATATTGTAACATTTTGGGTAAACGTCCAACTGTTACCAGAGAAGAAACCACTGCATTGGGCTTGTGATTCGGGGGATGAATGCCCTGTACCACGTAAAACAAGTGTGATTTAATTTATTTTTTCCTCAAAAAAAAAATTCAAAGCCATGAAATTACTTCCAGTTTGACTCACTTCAAATGGATTTTTGTTAGCAAGCTGCCTTTAAAACATATTCTTTCAAATGACTTGTGGAACAGATTGAGAAGTGATTTGACAGAAGTAAGCAGATCATCAAATTAATATCATAAAGATGTGAGTAGCTCTGCCCTTGGTGATTTACAATGTAGTAGTGGTGTGAAGCGTTTTTTCTGTGTAACATTAAGGATCAGTCCCTGATTTCCTGTATTAAATGCACACTGTGTGGGAGTTGAAGTGGTAATGTGAATTGATTGATACCACTGATTTTACACTTCCTATGGATCAGGTTTCAGTGTCCTCAAGTTTACAATAAGTTAGCGGACACAAGGTTCCTTACAAATGGAATGCACTTTCTGTTCTAAAAGAACTTTTGAGGTGACATTTGAGAACTGAAAGAGTGAAAATTTTCTTAATTTGAGTGTGCCATGCTCTTGATTCTATATATTAATGAAGGAATGGTATTGTCAACTTAAGTACAATAGTCTAAAAGTATAGTGTGTTAGTAAATGGAAAGTTGTCCGAGGCGCAAGAATTAACGATGTAAAACTAAGAATAGGCAGATGCGAAGCCTAAGTGGTTGGTAGGTAACAATTTGTCAGAACATTAATATAACCCTGGTAAACAACCAAACTCCAATATCAAAACTACTGCTAGACCTACCAATTACCCAGTGCAAAGCAAATTAAGGTGTAACCATCAAGTCTGGTTTTAATGGATCCTGATCATTTCTAGCCAACCATGTCAATAATCAGCCAATCTCTGCCAAGGTTACATCGTCACCTTGTAACTGTTGCCCTTGAATATTTCACCAAGTAGGTAAATGTTTACCTTAGATCTCAATAAACAAGTGGCTCTCTGAACTTCCCAATGTATCAAGTCCTGATGACTTAGTAAATACACAAGGTCAAGGTCATCTCAAAATTAAAAACTGAGTGAACCCATTTGAACAGCAGGTATACCTGTATTATTATGTAATAAATAATTTTTTTTTTCACTAAAGATCTAATATTTGTTATTAATAATATGTTGAATAGAATAATTTACAATGTAAATGATAGATGAAAATGGTAAATCGTTACAACCATTTATATGATTATTCCTTATAGGCTGTTGTTGTAGATTGGGTGCTAATGTCATCTCCGGAAAAGATAAATTTTTCACGTGTAAATTGTTCACATGCATCATGCTTATAATGTGTTTATAAAATGACGAAGTGGTACATTGGACACTGTTTCATATATTCATTTGTTTGTCTCTAACTCTTGTACTGGTACATTTGCGGATTTGATCGTGCTTGTTCTCTTACTACGTTATGATTAGATAATATTTTATTTTTTTATGGTTTCAGAGACGAGGCGGAATATCCTTTGGGCAGGACGATAACAATGCTATTTATGTCAGAATGCTGGGTAAGTCCATTGATTCCTAGTTATCTAGTGATAATGTCCCTCTAGTGTTTTGTCAGAGATTTTTAATGCATGCAGAATTTTTATATATCTGACATATAATCATGATAACCCATATTTCAGTGATTGATAGTACCAGATATTTTTATTAGTGTCAGTGATATTTCTTGGAAGTGTCATGGATATTCATTTTCTGGAATTATGAATATTCATGAGAATATTCAGTGTTTTTCTATTTCTTTGTTTTTGCCATGCCTTACAATCAATTTCAGAAATACTGATTTAATTTTAGGTGATGTCCGTTTGAGGGTGACATCAGAAAGGGAGAAGGCAAATCTCTTCAATCTGTAACAAATGTTAATGTTTTGAGAGGAATTCAGTTTGTCCCATGGGCATAATTATCAAGCACTGGTCATTTGCATTTCAAATTAGAGAGAAATTAATGAGTTTATTGTAAAGCAAGAACATATTTAGATCTCACTTGTGTTAATTAAGAGTTCTTGATGGCTATAGTTCAGATAAAGATCTTTCAATTGACCTCAAACTCTTAGAAAGTAGGTCATTATTTACCTAATTAATTAAGCATGCATCTCAGATGATGTAAAACAAGTTTAATGTAAAACAAGTTTTCAGTATCTGAAATCTCAAATATCATGGATATGTTGAAGTGATTTGGAAGTCCCAAGCCCTTTTTAAGTATTTTACCCTCAATATCTGAAACCTTGGATATCTCAAGGTTTCTTCTCAGTCCCATGGAGTTTGAGATATCGAGGATTGACTTTATTTACGTAGAATCTATCTCAGTTTCTCCTTTATATATATAAACAGCTATGTCAGTCATACTAATGTAAATCATACTGAACACAGTAACACTCTCTGGGATGACCTTAAAACTTGTTTGATAATACACACAACTCTATTGTGTATAACATTACTATCACTTAGTTTTAGTTGAAGTGGGGGAATTTTTTGTTTATTTGTTTTAATTAGATTTTTAATTACTTTAATGAATCTCTATTTTTGACCTTACAATATGTGTTAGCTCTGTTATGAGGATTAGTTGTAATGCACGATGTATATGTTTATGATTTAAGGAATGTTTCAATCTTGAAAGTGATTCAAAGAAATGTGAGGTGTTTAAGTCTGGCCAAAATATGAAAATTGTATGTTTTAGACATGGCCTGCTTCCCATAACGTCATGAGCATTTATTATACATCACAGTTTTTAAATATAAAGGACAAATATCTATTTATCTTTTTTTTATTTCCAGGATTGCTGTCTACTGACAAAAATTCACGATTATCATCCCGTTTTCAAAGTTTTAACAAACACCGACGGAAACGTAGCGTAACGGAAAATGTGTCTCGTCAACTTCAGTCTCTATTGGACCAACAGTATTCCCAGCAGGCTCAGGTAAGTTACCATAGTGATAATCACAACAGTATTCCCAGCAGGCTCAGGTAAGTTATCATGGTGATAATCACAACAGTATTCCCAGCAGGCTCAGGTAAGTTACCAGAGTGATAATCACAAAAGTATTCCCAGCAGGCTCAGGTAAGTTACCATAGTGATAATCACAACAGTATTCCCAGCAGGCTCAGGTAAGTTACCATAGTGATAATCACAACAGTATTCCCAGCAGGCTCAGGTAAGTTACCATAGTGATAATCACAACAGTATTCCCAGCAGGCTCAGGTAAGTTACCATAGTGATAATCACAACAGTATTCCCAGCAGGCTCAGGTAAGTTACCATAGTGATAATCACAACAGTATTCCCAGCAGGCTCAGGTAAGTTACCATAGTGATAATCACAACAGTATTCCCAGCAGGCTCAGGTAAGTTACCATAGTGATAATCACAACAGTATTCCCAGCAGGCTCAGGTAAGTTACCAGAGTGATAATCACAACAGTATTCCCAGCAGGCTCAGGTTAGTTATCTTCAGTGTGATAATCACAGCAAGTTTATAAAAAATTATATATGGAAAAGGTTGATTTAAAATGAATTAAAAAATGTTTTTTATTTTTTCACCCTTTACATAGGCATGCATTTTATTTGTTTAATGTTTTATACAATTTATGTGTAAGTTGCTTTGATGATGTGATTTAGTGTTTTGTCTTTTTTAGGAATTGATGAGCCAACTTAATGTATGGAATTTTGATATTTTCAATTTAGATGTATTAACAGGGGGTAAGTTAAGCTTTAAGATTGTGTTCAATCAGCAGTACATGTATTAACTTCCTGTGATAATTAAGGTTCAACATCCTTCTGATCATTCATATAAAAGTCTTTGCCTTCATGCTTATTTTTTCAAAAGAAATCTTAATTCATAATAAAATGCATACAATTTCAACATACTTAAGCAAAATTTAACTAAAATATATTTTTAGATTATTACATAACCAGTTTTAAAAACAAATAATAGTCAATTATACAAAATGAGAGAGTTATCTCTCTTTTGAGAGGGTAGATGAACCTTAAATACGGTGTATTTTTCTGATTACAGGGAGGTCTCTAACTCATGTCGCCATCCATTTATTTAAGAAGTATAACCTTATCTCCACATTCAAATTGGACTTCATCAAACTCATGCAAACATTCAGTAAGTAACAACTGGTACATTTTCATATATACAGGGTTATTTTCGCCCCCATGTTATTTTCGCCCTTTTACACTTGCTAACAATTTTGCTGAGGTTTAAGTTTGCCCAGTCACAGTTCTGTTTAAAAATTTATCCTGTGTTCTTTGAATTCGACCCTTTTTATATCTGCCCACTTGTGACAAGGGTGAAAGGGGCAAAAATAAAACAAGGGCGAAAATTTCCCTGTATACAGTACTGTTTATAGGACTAAACTAGAGACTATTTGTATTATGAACTGTGTTCTCGGGGATTCTGCCTATTTCTCATTCATCCTCAGAAATCTCTTGTTTTCTCTCCAGCTCTGATTGAGAATGGTTACCATGGAAGCAATCCCTACCACAATGCGGTGCACGCGGCGGACGTTACCCAGGCGATGCACTGCTATTTACAGGAAGTGCAGGTCAGTTTACAGCAGGACGCCACTCAGAGTAGAGACCAAGAAAGTGGTGTCCTTACCTTTGTCAGGAGATTAAGTGTTTGATTTAACAATGGGCTGGACTTTTTAATTTCTGTGCACAGTAATGATTATTTGCATTATATTGTTGTAAGTAATTTTTCTTTAAAAAATGGTATGAATTTCATACACACCCTAAATACAAAAATGTCTTATTGCTACAAGAATTTTTCTGATACAAGTCTGTTGTCAGTAGTGTAAACAATATCTGTTTTTGTAGGTGTCCTAAATTGAGAATATTTGTTTTTAGCTCTACTGGTCAGAGACCAGAAGAGCTTATGCGATAGTAAGCTGTCTGTCGTCCGTCCGTCTAGCTGTCCGTCCGTCTGTCTGTCTGTCTTGGTCTGATTTTAATATAACTTGGCTCACAAGTAGACTACACTAAGATACATAAAATAGTGCATTGGATTTTATTTTGATGAAAGGTGTTGCCATGGTTACTAAAAATAGAATTTTCTGTGAAATTCCTTTAAAACGCAATTCCTCCTACAGTTTTGATCTGATTTCAATATAACTTCGCACACAAGTAGACTACCTTAAGATACATTGAACAGTGCATCGGATTTTGATTTTGATGAACGGTGTTGCCATGGTTATTAAAAATAGAATTTTCTGTCAAATTCCTTTAAAACGCTACTCCTTCTACAGTTTTGGTCTGATTCCAATATAACTTGGCACACAAGTAGACTACACTAAGATACATAATATAGTGCATCGGATTTTGATTTTGATGAACGGTATTGCCATGGTTACTAAAAGTAGAATTTTCTGTCAAATTCCTTTAAAACGCTACTCCTTCTACAGTTTTGGTCTGATTTCAATATAACTTGGCACACAAGTAGACTACCTTAAGATACATTGAACAGTGCATTGGATTTTGATTTTGATGAACGGTGTTGCCATGGTTGCTAAAAATAGAATTTTCTGTGTAATTCCTTTAAAACGCTACTCCTTCTACAGTTTTGGTCTGATTTCAATATAACTTGGCACACAAGTAGACTACCTTAAGATACATGTACATTGAACAGTGCATTGGATTTTGATTTTGATGAACGGTGTTGCCATGGTTACTAAAAATAGAATTTTCTGTGTAATTCCTTTAAAACGCTACTCCTTCTACAGTTTTGGTCTGATTTCAATATTACCTGACACACAAGTAGACTACACTAAGATACATTGAACGCTGCATCGGATTTTGATGAACGGTGTTGCCATGGATACTAAAAATAGAATTTTCTGTCAAATTCCTTTAAAACACTGCTCTTTCTACAGTTTTCGTTTGATTCCAATATAACATCAGATTTTGATTTTGATGAACGGTGTTGCCATGGTTACTAAAAATAGAATTTTCTGCGTAATTCCTTTAAAATGCTGCTCTTTTGCTCTTTCTACAGTTTTGGTCTGATTTCAATATTACTTGGCACACAAGTAGACTACACTAAGATACATAGAACAGTGCATCAGATTTTGATTTTGATGAACGGTGTTGCCATGGTTACTAAAAATAGAATTTTCTGTGAAATTCCTTTAAAACGCTTCTACAGTTTTGGTCTGATGGCAATGGCTTCTTTTCTCATCTTTTGTTATAAGTTCAAACCAGTAGAGCTACAGACTCGACAGAGACTTCTGGTTACCTGCTTGAAGCATGATTTTTCATTACATGCTACTTCCTATTATAACAGAAAAAAATAAGGTGTCCGTAAATGAGAACATATTTACATTATTGCTAAAAGCAATGATTTCATTACTAGTTATTTCCTTATCATGCTCAAACACCAAAACGAATAAAGGAAAATAAAGCCATGTTGAGGGTTGAATAGTGAGGGTACTAAGGAGGGCTATTTAACAGTTAATACCTTAAGGAGATCAGTTTTACATTGTCCCAGTGTTAAAGACAGCAGTTATTTCACAAGATAATAAGTTCATGGCCAGATAGCAAAGTACATGTGCCTTACAGCACTTGAGGTCGTATGACCCCCGTAACCCAGGAAGGATCATCTACAGGGTTATATTGTGTTATATCAGAATTATATCAGACCTGTGACGTGTCACTGGGTTACCATTCATACAGGGACAGTATCAGAGTATTCTCTACTTTATGTGTAGTCAGCAACTTATTCCTACATATTATTGCTGATGTAATCAAGTTGTTAACTGCAAAAGTTTTTATTATATGCATTTATTTTCTTAAGTGTCAGAGATTCAGTTCAAAGTTTGTAATGATAAACAAAGCTATAATCCTTATGAAAAAAATATGCAAATGATCAATTACTATATTATTCTTTAACAAAAAATGGTATATCTTATGAAGTGATATGAAGCTTTAACTGTATGAATAGGTTCCTTTTATTTCTCTTTCCGGTAAACAAAATTTTCCATTTGTTTTATAGTTGAGAGGCTGGATTCCCAGTTTTGAAATAATGACCTCTCTGCTGGCAGCCATGACTCATGACCTTGACCACCCAGGGGTCAACCAAGCATTTCTGATTGCTACAGCCAATCACCTAGCAGATCTGTATCAGGTAACATCTAATTGGAACTTTTGTAATTTATGAAATCTTGAAAGGAATATTGGTAAAATAACAAGAGAATTTAATTATTTGAAGATATGCTAAAATAATTCAGAACATCAGTTCTGCTTAATATTACCATTGAAATAAATCATACAGAGCTGCTGTTGTGCGTGTTTAATGTTAAATTATGTAACGTTCACAAGTGTAAATTGATGTTGATAATTATAGAATACCTCCGTCCTGGAGAACCATCATTGGCGCTGTGCTGTGGGGGTGTTTTACGAGTCCGGTGTGTTCAGCCATCTTGACCAGGACTCATGGTACTGTTTATCTATAAGAGTACTTTGTAACACAAGTAACAAGAAGCTTTACTTTTAATACTGTAAAGAAACTTTTTATATTCCTTGGGATCATAAAATTCCATGGAGAAATACAATTTCTGTTCAATCTGTGGGTAGAAAATTATGAGGATTTTCTTGATTGTGATTGTGTGACTTAGATGCACTTAAAAATGAACTGGGAGAAATTCCCATGGTAAATGTGACTGCATTTGTTGCCTTATTTAATCCTACTCAGAAAAAGTATTTCTACAGTGCCTAGCATTATTTATTTGTTAGCATCTGTTTTAAAATTCAAACAAGCAAGCAAATTGGCCAGATGAAGAAACCATTTAAATATTTACATGTTTTAGGAACCAGATAATTTGGCAACTTCGATCTTTGATATTAGCCACAGATATTACTCGACAACAGGAATTTCTTAGCCGGTTTAAGGTAAGTTATTGCTAGAGAATATATGAATTTCTTAGTGACTTCAGTGTAAATATTATTTGACAACATGGAGAGTTAGTATGCTCTTTCTTGAGTGCGTCTACATTTTTAGGTCACCTGAGTCACTCAGGTGACCTATTGCTATCCGGTTTCGTCCGTCGTGTGTTAACATTTGAACATTTTCAACTTCTTCTCTGAAACCACTGAACCAATTTCAACCAAATTTGGTATACAGCATCTATGGGTGATGGGGAGCAAAAATTGTGAATTTTATGATCCCTGCCCCCCTGGGGCCTGAGGGGTGGGGCCAAAACCACTAAAATTAATGAAATCTTTAAAAATCTTCTTTACTCCTGGACATTAAGCAGGCAAATGTTGGTGTGAATGTAATGAACATTGAGTCCTCTACCAAAATTGTGAAATTCATGACCCCGGGGTCAGGGTTTCTAGTGCTAGGGTGGGGCTTTATTGATTATATAGTGAAAACGCATTAAATCTTTGAAAATCTTCTTCTCTGCTCCTGGGTATTAAATAAACTAATTAAGTACAAAGTTATGATGAGCAAGAGTGCATCTTCCAAAATTGTGAATTTCATGGCCCCAGGGTCAGGGGTTCTGGTGTTGGGGTGGGGCTCTATTGATTATATAGTGAAAATGCATTAAATCTTTGAAAATCTTCTTCTTTGCTCCTGGGTATTAAATAAACTAACTAAGTACATAGTTATGATAAGCAAGAGTGCCTCTTTCAAAAATTGTGAATTTTATGGCCCCAGGGTCAGGGGTTCTGGTGTTAGGATTTATGATAAAATTTCCAAGATTTTGAAATATATGGCCCCAGGGTTAGTGGTTCCTTTTTGGGTGCACAACTGGTTATAAAGTGGAAGTGCATTTTCTCTTTGTTATTCTGATCTACCTCTGGGTATTAAGTAAATAGAGTAAATAGAGTAAGCATGCTTAGTTTATAATTATGATAAGCAATGGTGCCTCTTTCCAAATTTTCAGAATTTCATGGCCTCTGGTTTAAAACACGAACCAAATTCAATTGCTGGAAAGTTGTTACATGATACTCAGGTGACCTATAATGCCCGTGGGCCTCTTGTATACTGATTTATCATAAATGACATTTTGAATATATTTAACATGAAAAATAATTCAAAGAACTTTTCAAATCAGAAAGTGGTAGAAATCCATTTTCAGATAGACTTGTACATTGTACACAAAAATTCTTCTGAATTTCAGAAATACCTGGATGAAGATAACTTAGATTATAAAAATGATTTGCCGGATCGAATCTTTTTATTACAAGTAAGTATCATATTACAAAGATAAATAGATGACATTCAGTGTTTCATGCTGATACAATCTGTTCCAAATAGCATTAATATGTGCTGATATAATCTGTTTCAGATACTGTAAATTACTTTTTATTCACTAGAACTTTATTTTCACATACAGGGTAATTATGCTTGTCTGTTTGCTCCTAAAAATTTTATCCTCACGTATGCTTGTATTGATAAGGATTATATACAACAAAAAGCATAGATTGCAAAAATTTTGTCTTGCTAATAAATACCAAATCGCTTTTTCTGGAAAATAAAGTGTCACGAAAAAAATATAGTGATCTACAGTAGCATTAAAGTGTGCTGTTATAAGTAATTCTTTGTCTGTTCCAGATAGCATTAGAGTGTGTTGTTATAAGTAATCCTTTGTCTGTTCCAGATAGCATTAAAGTGTGCTGATATAAGTAATCCTTTGTCTATTCCAGATAGCATTAAAATGTGCTGATATAATCTATTCCAGATAGCATTAAAGTGTGCTGATATAAGTAATCCTTTGTCTCTTCCAGATAGCATTAAAGTCTGCTGATATAAGTAATCCTTTGTCTGTTCCAGATAGCATTAAAGTCTGCTGATATAAGTAATCCTTTGTCTGTTCCAGATAGCATTAAAGTCTGCTGATATAAGTAATCCTTTGTCTGTTCCAGATAGCATTAAAGTGTGCTGATATAAGTAATCCTTTGTCTCTTCCAGATAGCATTAAAGTGTGCTGATATAAGTAATCCTTTGTCTCTTCCAGATAGCATTAAAGTGTGCTGATATAAGTAATCCTTTGTCTGTTCCAGATAGCATTAAAGTCTGCTGATATAAGTAATCCTTTGTCTATTCCAGATAGCATTAAAGTCTGCTGATATAAGTAATCCTTTGTCTGTTCCAGATAGCATTGAAGTGTGCTGATATAAGTAATCCTTTGTCTGTTCCAGATAGCATTAAAGTGTGCTGATATGATCTATTCCAGATAGCATTAAAGTGTGCTGTTATAAGTAATCCTTTGTCTGTTCCAGATAGCATTAAAGTGTGCTGATATAAGTAATCCTTTGTCTGTTCCAGATAGCATTAAAGTGTGCTGATATAAGTAATCCTTTGTCTGTTCCAGATAGCATTAAAGTGTGCTGATATAAGTAATCCTTTGTCTATTCCAGATAGCATTAAAGTCTGCTGATATAAGTAATCCTTTGTCTGTTCCAGATAGCATTGAAGTGTGCTGATATAAGTAATCCTTTGTCTGTTCCAGATAGCATTAAAGTGTGCTGTTATAAGTAATCCTTTGTCTGTTCCAGATAGCATTAAAGTCTGCTGATATAAGTAATCCTTTGTCTGTTCCAGATAGCATTAAAGTGTGCTGTTATAAGTAATATTGATTTGTTCCAGATAGCATTAAAGTGTGCTGATATAAGTAATCCTTTGTCTGTTCCAGATAGCATTAAAGTGTGCTGATATAAGTAATCCTTTGTCTGTTCCAGATAGCATTAAAGTGTGCTGTTATAAGTAACATTGATTTGTTCCAGATATCATTAAAGTGTGCTGTTATAAGTAATCCTTTGTCTGTTCCAGATAGGATTAAATTGTGCTGATATAAATAATCCATTTGTCTGTTCCAGATAGCATTAAAGTGTGCAGATATAAGTAACATTGATTTGTTCCAGATAGCATTAAAGTGTGCTGATATAAGTAACATTGATTTGTTCCAGATAGCCTTAAAGTGTGCTGATATAAGTAATCCTTTGTCTGTTCCAGATAGCATTAAAGTGTGCTGATATAAGTAACATTGATTTGTTCCAGATAGCATTAAAGTGTGCTGATATAAGTAATCCATGCCGAGAGTGGAGCCTAAGTAAACAGTGGAGTGGTCGTGTGTGTGATGAATTCTTTAGACAGGGTGATTATCTATAATATAGAGCCTGATTTTAAACTGAGCAGAGGTACAAAAGTACAATAAAGATCCCTCACTGGTCAATGACTTGGTCTAAAATTTACAGCTCTCTACCAGCAAGTGATGGCGTCTTAATATGAGTAAAAAATTATTGAAGGAGATGTAATCAACTTACCATGATAAACACAGAAACAAACAATCTGTATTCCATAAATTTTGTTCAGAAGAACAGAAATTCTATATATGAAACTTTATTTAATGTGTTTGTTCTTTTCTGATCTCACATAGTAGTTTAAGCAATGTTGTTTGTATCTGACGTGGATTTTAAGTGTGTTTGTTCTGATCTAACAGGTGACTATGAAAGAGAACTAGAACTTCCTGTAACTCCTATGTGTAACCGAGTAACCATGACAACAGCCAGGATACAAGCTGGTAAGATGATTATTCACCGATCTAATCTTTTATTATTATTAGATTGACAATACTGTAACAGTAAAACTCAGTTATAACAAAGTCACTGGGACCTATGAAATTTATTTGCTACATGTATATCCAGAATTTGCTGTATCTGTGTAAGGAATGCACCAAATCTATAAAGCTTGGAATCCAAGATAACTTAGCAATATCCATGAATTCGCAGTATCTTTGTTCTTACTAAACAAGTTTTATTGTACAAATTAGATGATGTAAACAACTTGATCTTGCCTAATATTGAATTATCATGTAAAATATAAATAATAAAGGGTTTTCGTAAGAGAAAGTGTAAATAAATCTATGGCAAAAAAATGGTATGCTTCTATTTCGTATTTAAATAAAAAACGGTTCAATAATTATCTAAGAAAAAAAAATGTCTCCTTGTTGAAGGATTTTGACCTTTTTCTCTCTTTGTTCCAGGATTTATGGAGTACGTAGTGAACCCTTTGTTTTATGCCTGGAGACAGTTTCTTCCCTCTAAACTTAGTGATGTGATGCTAGACAATGTCGCTCAGAATCTGAAAAATTGGCGGGAAGTGATCAAAGAAGAGGAGGAGGTCAGTAAACCTGCGGAGTCGGACGAGGAGGTGTTAAACGAAGAAAAAACAGACACTGTGGAGGAAGGGAGACTTCCTCTCAACTACATCCACATCACGGACGAAGACAGTAACTCCCTGGACAGTCGGCGCGGGAGTTGTAGGAGTCTGTCTCCCGTCCATGAAATCTTAGAAAATGGCTGGGATCCTGAGCAGCGAAGGCACAGCATGCCTCCTGCTTATGTCAAAAGGGAGATAACCTGTGTGACTATTCGTAGAGAAAGTGTTCCCATATCTCAATTTCTAAGGAGGAGGAGTTTACCCACAGCCATGCTTGTGCAAACGTCCTCTCTTGAGAAATTATCTGGCAAGTTATCAGCACTTGCCCAACGTCACAATATGTCAAATAAAAGCATATCTATGGAGGAGTTGATGTCTCGACCTAAAATCTCTAATCTCACAACCAGTTACGAGACGAGTTTACTGGCCAGTGGGCTCTCCGTTGTCACGGACCCATTGTACTCAAAATCTCATCTAGCAGACTCAGTGTACTCAAACTCTCACAGCAGCATTGTGCGATTTCTGAGTGTCCCTCGGACCTGCCCCGACCCACCTCATGACCCTAGTCACCCTACAGACTCAAACACATTCCCATGGCCAAGCAATAAGTGTGCTCAAAACTGTGATCAGCAAAACAAACATATTAACGACTCGGACTGTATAGGAAAAGTTAACTGCATTAATGACCCAGATTGTATAGGGAGTCTCAACTTAGCTGGAAATTCCTCTGTCTTACCCTAAACCCACTAGTCTTTCATTAGTATAAACTGTATTTGTAAGAAAATTTTAAAGGGGTAATTATTTACATTTTAACAAGTACTATGAAATTTATATATATTTATATCTACATTAAATAAATTGTTGTCATAGTTTTAAATATATGATTTTGTGTGGATTGTTATTTCAAATAAGGTCAAACAGCCCAGCAGCATTATTTTAAAGGCACTTTTCAAGTAATTTTGGACAATACAATTGTGCCAACAAAAAGTTGATACAATATTTTTAAATTTCTTTAGTTCATCCCATTTTCAACATCAAAGGTCAGGTCAATATGTAAGCACCTTTGTGTAAAATTCTTGACCAGAGCATGTCTCGTGCATATTTTTCACTCCTGTGTCCAATCTTGCTTTAATTTTACCCATACATGTATTTTAGTCTGTAAGAACTTCCACGACTCAGATGTTTGAACTGAACATTGTGGAATTAATAAATTTATAGACTGTAAATATAGATATATTTTTAAAATGAAAATTTAAGAATTCAATGATAATGCAAGCAATTTACAACCAGTCACATGAAATATTGATCCTCACCTTGAGTTAAGAAGTTTTAGCACAACTGAGCTGAAGGCTCAAATGAGCTAATCTGATAACTTTTTTTTCCAGTATCCCTCTGTCTGTCTGTCTGTCTGTCTTTGTAAACTGTTCACATTTTTGACACATTCTTTTAAGAACCACTGGGCCAATTTCCACCAAACTTACGTCAAAGTATCCTTGCTTAAGGGGGATTAAATTGTGTTCAAATGACTTCAAAGGGGAGATAATTACAAATTAATTTAGTGAAAAATTACTGATATCTTTAAATTTTCTCACAAACCATTTCTTAAAGCTGTGATGTATAGTTGTATACTGAATATTAACTCAAATTTGAGCTCATGAAACACTTCTAAGAAGATTTGGTGCATATAATGCTGAGAATGCACTGACAAAGATGAGATGTGACATTAGAAGAGTGAGTAGTTAAAATTTTACTTACTCTGTATTTTGCTGATACATTTTTTATAATAATGATTATTTTACGTAGCGTATTGTAAATGATTCATAAAAAAGTATAAAATGAAAATGATGTAGTGTCCACTACGGCTTTCACTGATTGTCCATTTCTTTGCGGCCCATTTACTTGTAGAACTAGTTTACAATTTTGAACTACATCCAATTACTTGAGATATTCTTTTCCTGTTGGTCATGATTATTAAGTTCTTTCATCATCCCCCTTCCCCTCTGTAACATAATCGGTGTATTTTTTACATTTGCCGTAGGCCTTCTGTATGGGATATTTGAGTCCGTTTTGATGTAATTTCTGTAGCACGGCTGACGGTAGATCTATCTGACATCTGTCTGCTAATCTGACAAGGTTGATCAAAATGTCGCTCAATTCCTCTCCAACATGCTCTTTCTCTTTAGTACTGAGTTCTGTTAATGGAGTGAAATGATTTCACTTATCATACAACAGTTTATGTTGTGAATTAAATCTTGATTTGTTTCTTCCAAGTTTTAGGATCTTAAGTTTTTCTATGTTATCCAAATAATTGAGGAATGCACGACAAAAAGAAGTGGAGAAGCCTAGTCCTTGCCTAGCTGCAGACAGGGCTCCCACTGGACTGAAAATATTTTTCGCCACTTTTCGCGACAAAAAAAGGCATATACTTACATCTTATTTCTCGACAATGCACTGCACTTTATGTTATTCATTTTTTTTAATTATGTTTATCAGAGACATTTATGATTATCTTAAAATTGTAATGTTCAAAGCTTATGGTAGTATCCATTTAAGAAAAGGAAAAAAAACTAATGTTGGAATTATATTATTAATTTAATATTGAATTGATATCAGCCAACTCTTGACAGAAAATGTCCTTGCTTATATTTTTTGCCTGGAAAGGGGGGGATACAGACCTAGTAAAAATATATGACATTTTTTGAAAATGGAAATTTTCATCATTTCATGAATTTAAAAAATAAGAAAGAAAGTAATTAAAAGTAATGAAAATTAGGTTTAAAAGTTGACTTTATTTTATAACTTGGTAACTCCAGGGTTTAATGTGCAAGCTCATGTAAATGTAAATAATTCACTGTAATTTACCAAGATAATTCTGTTTCCAAACCAATTTCTTTTTCACTCTTTGTCAGTTTATGGTATAATGTACACATTTTCAATTTTCATTAATAGGCAAAATTTGAAGCCATTCTTTACAATTTTCGTCATGTTTCCCTACTTTCGGTTTAAAAAAACGATCTACATAGATCCAAATTTTGTTGATAAAAATCTTTTATTTACTAACTTCATCTCCTAATAACACTTTATCCCCCTTTGTTTAATCCAAATTATATTATTTCAAGCAATTTTGTAACCCTTTATTGCTCCAGGCTAGTTATCTAGTGAGCTGTGTTCGTTCAAGCGAGACATGATTTCCTACATGTAGGTTTCAGTTTTCACACCTCTGCTGCATTAAATAAACATTGGGACTTATCTGTATACATTGAATAAACAGAGGAGCTAACCAGGACTACACAAATTTTGTACATGAAAAACTAAAAAAATTCTTTTCGCCACTTATGAATTTCTTTTCGCCACTTTTGGAAAAAATTCGCAATTGGCGACAATGGCGAATCACAGCTCGAGCCCTGGCTGCAGATCAGTAGCGTTATGGTTTTATATATTTGTCTTCGACCGTAACGCTATCGATCCCGTAATGCAAAAAAGGTGCAATTTACGACACAATATTTTTTGCACACTTTTGGGGAGAATTTCTCCACTTACTAGCATTGGTCAACCATCTACCTTTCACTCCCCAATTCTAGACATATTTTGAGCCAAAATGTATATTCTATCTACCTTCCAACCATTTATAGTTGTCTCTACATGCAATATACTCACTTGAAGTAAATTTTCAGCAATCTAACAAATAATTTTAATCAAGCGAATTTATCACTTGTAAAGACGACTACAAAGGGTTGGGAGATGGATAAAATATACAGATTAGTTAAATAATGTGCTTAGAATAATTAGAGAGTGAAAGGTAGTTGATTGACCAAAGCTAGAAAGTGGAGAAATTCTCCCCAAAATTGTGCAAAAAATATTGGGCCGTAAATTGCACCTTTTTGCACTACGGGATCTGTAGCGTTATGGTCAAAGACAAGTATATAAAACCACAACGCTACAGATCTGCAGCTAGTCCTTGCCCTATGTGCCCCTGGGCATAACTAGAACTAGATCTGATACTGTATACAGGGTTATTTTCATCCTTTTACACTTGCTAACAATTTTGCCCCCTTTTAAATTTGGCTATTCAGTTCTGTTTTAGAAATTATTACTGCATTCTTTGTTTTAGGGTGAAAGGGGCAAAAAAATAAACATGGGCAAAACTTTCCCTGTATACAGTAGGTATGCAGGTATCCAATAAATTGGACTCACCTGGAATTCCAACAGTAACTTCACCTTTCCACTGACTGAAATATAAATTTATCACCAATATATTACTTCCCTTAAAAGTATTGAATATTTTGAATAGGCACAAAAGCCAAAAAGCAGTGTAAAAATGAAAGCAGATTACATCTTATATGGATCTGTAATAATGTCTCCAAATGGTGACATTTTGTCATTGTTATTTTTTGTTATGAGCAATACTTGACGGTCAATGAAAATCGTTGAAGTAGAGAACTATTACATGTACCATGAACATGTCTTTAGAAAGATGCAAGTTGACCACAAAATTTAACAGATATGTCTTTCTCTTACGGTCAAATCTTACAGCATAAAATTTGAAATTTTTATAATGAACACAAAGTTATTCTGTCACAATGGTTCATTTATATATATGTACATGTATTCAGACACACAGACAAAGTGATATGACCCATATGTCTTCCTCTAACAGTAAAGTACACCACTAAAACGCCACATTGAAAACTGCATGTGTGTGATATCACATTATCACAATAAAATTCACAGGAAATGGATATACAATTAGTCAAAGACAGATAGGCAAAGTGATATGATCTCAAAATCTATAGATGTCTTCCTTGAACAGTGAAGTACAATACAAAATTATAAGAATACTTTGAAAACTATTCAAGTTATCACAACAAAATTGTTGAAGGACAGACAGACAGATAGACAGTGTTATTCCTATAGAGCTGGGATTCACATTTTCACCTGGGCCCTTGCAAGACTGTATGTGAAACACTGATATCCCTGTATGGCAGCTCATAGCCAAGGTTAAAGTTTTTCAAAAGACGGTCAAACTAGAAGGACATGTTGGTACCAAATGAGACAAAACAAGAAATACATGTGAAATATGTATCTGAAGAGAGTAAACTGTGACTGACCAGACAAGGATTTGAATCTGGGTCCCCTGAATCACATATCAAATTCTCTTCCATCTGAATCACAGGTCAGGTCCTATTCCAAATGAGCTATCTTGCAACTTGTGATCAAACCTGTCTGAATGCCATATAACTTCCCTCCTTCTTTTCAAGAACGACTTGGTCTTGAAGAAAAAAAAAGTCTTTGCCCCTAAAGACACCAACCAAGGCTTTTTTTGGGCATTGGTCTTTCACCTGTCACTTCCAGGGCATGGCATCAAGTGTAATGAGTGAGGGAGAAAAATGCAATGGACAAGACAAGCTAGGCCTCCTGAATTACTAGTCAGCTGCTCCAAACACTGAGATACACATGCCAATACCCAAACCATTAAATAAGATTGATATGAAGCATTAACATAAACCATTTAAAGGTTATAGCCAATTTTTCAGGACAAAAGGGGGGGGGGGGGGGTTATGATTTGAATTAACTTGAATCAACACTACCTGAGGATGCTTCCAAATAAATACATGTATGATTAATCGTGGCTTAGTTGTTATTGAATAGAAGATTTTTAGAGATTTTTCCTGTATATTCCTATGTAAAACTTTGATTGTCCATTGTTACCCTGCCAGCTCCCCAGGGGTCATGGTTTGAACATACTTGAATCTACACAACCTGAGGATGCTTCCAGTGTCCATTACCGGTATATATAGTTTCATTTTTCAAGACCAAGTCGTTCTTGAAAAGAGGACTTTTAAAACATGCCACCAAAATTTAACTATTTCTTAATTATCTCCCCTTGAAAGAGGGTGTGGCCCTTCATCTGAATAAACTTGAATCCCCTTTATCCAAGGATGCTTTGTGTCAAGTTCGCTTGAAACTGGCCCAGTGGCTCTGGAGAAGAGATCTAAATTGTGAATAGTTCACAGGCAGTTAACAGACGGACGCCGGAAAAAATGTGATCAAAAAAGCTCACTTGAGCTTTCAGCTAAGGTGAGCTAACTAATCAGTAACACAAAACTCCCCCGAGTTCAGGTTATATGCTCACCTGTGCTGAAGGCTAAAAAAATTTTAACATTTTCAAGTTCTTTTAAAAGCCAATGGGCCAATTTCAACCAAACTTGCCACATAGTCATTCTGGTTAAAAGGGGTTCAAGTTTGTTCAAATGAAGGGTCACACCTACCTCAAAGAGGAAATAATTACGAATTAGTAAAAAAATTATGACATCTGCAAAAAGTCTTCTCACAAACCATTACTTCAAACCGTGTTGTATACTGAATATTAATTCAAATCAGAGCTCATGAAACACTCCCTATGAAGATTTGGTGCATAATGCTGAGAATGCACTGACATAAAAAAGGATACACGATAAGAATGAGGGGTTAAAATTTTACTTACTCTGTGTTTTGATAATTAATTATAAAAAATTATTTACATGTGATAGCTACATAAATGATTCATAAATTTCATGACAACTAACAATCAACAAAAATATTTGAACATCAACTATTAATTAAAAATGATGCAGTGTCCACTACGGCTTTCAATGATTGTCTGTTTCTATGTTTCCCATTTCACTGGTAGAACTAGTTTACAATTTTGGACTACATCTGAATACTTGAGATGTTCTTTTTCTGTTGGTCATGATTATCAAGTTCTTTCTTCATCTTCCTTGCTCTCTGTAACATAATCAGTGTATTTGTTATTTTTGCCGTAGACCTTCTGTACGGGATATTTGAGTCCGTTTTGGTGTATTTTCTGTAGCACGGCTGACGGTAGATCTATCTGACATCTGTCTGCTAATCGGACGAGATAGATCAAAATGTCGCTCAATTCCTGTCCCACATGTTCCTTCTCTTTAACACTGAGTTCTGTTAATGGAGTTTAATATGATTTCATATTTCATACAATGGTTTATATTGTTAATTTAATCTTGATTTGTTTCTTCTAAGTTTTAAGATCTAAAGTATTATTTATATGTTATCCAAAAAATTAAGGAATACAGAGAGAAGTGAAGAAGTCTAGTCCTTGCCCGATGTCCCCATAGGCATAACAAGGACTAGATACTGTATACTGTGTTATCTTCACCCTGTGTTAATTAATTTCACCCTTTTACACTTGCGTACCGTTTTGCTCAGTTTTAAGTTCGCTTATTCACAGTTCTGTATTAGAAATTATACTTTCTTAAACTTCACTGTTTTAAATTAGCCCACTTGTGACAAGGATAAAAGGGGTGATAAAAATAAAAAGGGGTGAAAATTTCCCTGTATATAATAGGTAAGTATCTAATAAATTGTACTCACCTGGAATTCCAACACTAACTTCACCTTTCCACTGACTGAAATATAAATTTATAGCCAAAATCACATCCCTAAATGTTTTGAACATTTTGAAGAGGTACAAGAGCCCAAAAAACAGTCCAGAAATGAAAGCATGTTACGACATGTTTGTGAAACACTGATATCCCTGTATTGCAGCTCATAGCCAAGGTTCAAATTATTCAAAAGACAGTCAAACACACTCAAACTAGGACTTGTTGGTACCAAAATGAAACGTCACAAGAAATGCATGTGAGATATGTGTAACTAAAGAAAACTGTGAGAGACCAGACAAGGATTTGAACCTGGGTCCCCTGAATCACATACATGTATCAGATGCTCTTCCATCCGAGATATCTGGCTACCTGTAATCTGTCTGAATGCTCTGGTCTTCCGTGCCTGGGGGGAAAATGTGATGGACCAGACAAGAATTGGAAGCTATGCCTCCTGAATTACTAGTCAGCTGCTCCGAACACTGAGCTACCCAGGCCAATATCCATGACCCAAACCATTGAATATGATTGATATGAAGCCCTAACATAAACCATTTTAAGGTTATATAGCCAATTTTTCAGGCAAAAAGAGAGCAAAAATTTCATGCACAAGAATCTCTGATTTCAGCAGCATAAAACAGGGATTTCAACTCATTTTGACTTAATCACTGGTTTAGAGGATGCTAATTTTTAAAATATCAAACTTTGCACAGATCTAGAAAGGGCAGGCAAGAATTTGACAAATTATCACATGTGTATACTATTAAAAGCTACTAAAAGTGACATTGCCCCCCCCCTTTTTTAGAAAATGCAGACTCCTGTTGAAATGAAAAATCATACACATGATGGATTTAATTTTTTTTGACTGAGGAAGAACCCTTCCCCGGAAAAAAATCCTGGATCTGTGCCTGCAGAGTTTAGTCATGCAAATATATATGGTAAATCATATCATTCCTATTAATCTGCCAAAATGTGGAAACAAATAGATAAAGTACCTTTTTCATAATCACTTACAATATTTCTGCCAACTCCCCTACTTCCCCAACTAAAGCAAGCAGAACATTTCTAGGTTTGTGAAACTGGTCCCAATTTCTCTCCTTGCAAAACTTCGCCTGTAATTGTCGTCTAGAAAAAACAATTATAAATAATGAAATATATGTCAAACAGTCCTTCTTATGTATCAACTTTCTCATGCTAAGATGTAAAGAGATATTTCATTTCCTTTTAATCCATTGTTCATTCATCATTTTTTACAGCTGTTAATCTAGAGTTTAAAATATTAGATTTATGATTTCTTTTACATTTTTTCCAGTGCAAGTTCGTTGCTAAACTTAAAATCGACATCACTATCATGGCAATCTTCATCATCGCCAGATCCTAGATCCAACTTTGGCTTCTTTGAGTCATTATTTTCATTCATTTTAGATTGCTTGACGGCTTGCAAGAAGGCAAAATTGAAAGTGAAAGTAACAACACGTGTTTACATTCAAGCACCGATCCCGATGCAAATTACACACACATTCTAATTCTACTCATAAACACACGTTATTTCATGTTTATATCGTTCTTATGACCATTTTATTATTTTTTTTATTAATTTGCTTAAAAATTAAAGTAAATAAAAGTACAGAAAAACATCAAAGAACTTCTTTCACAGTGTAACTTCAATCTATTAAAATGGACTGCTGTAAATCACATTTTATTCGTGAGAACTTTGTTATCGCGTTATTACGCAAGACAGTATGATAGCAAAAATTTCATTCTCGCATATATTAGTACTCCTTCAAATTATACAGAATAAATGATCACAATTCGTGAAAATGTTTTCTCGCTAATAAAGAGTTAATGATGTACTTTCTCGAGAAAATAAGGCGTCACGAAAATTCAGTGATCTACTACTAAAAGTATTTGGTAAATCAGAACTAACTTTAATTCAAGTTTACTTATATCACCCTTACAAGATGTGTGACTTTATACCCAGTACTTATCAACAGAAGAAGAGAGTTTTACAATAAAGGCTTTAATAGTGGGGTGTTGCTAAAACGCGGAACGGAAAACGGAACGAAACGGAAAACGGAAAACAAATGTCAATATGAATCAGAAATAAAAAGCAATATTCATGATATAAAAGTCATATTTAATGAAAAATTAACGTAAAATATGATATATTTGTGAATTATGCTCCTCTCATAACATGTACATGCGATGGTCATTAAAAGGCTTTCTGTGATTTAGATGTACTAACTACTGTAAATCACTTTTTATTTTCGCGTAATTACGCGAGACAATGTGTTCGCGAAAATTAAACTCTCGCGTATAAAAGTATTCCTTACGATTGTATAGAGGAATAACAACTATTCGTGAAAATTATGTCTCGCTTACAAAGAATCAATGACAATCTCACAAAAATTTAGTAATCTACAGTAGTATCCATTTGTCAAACGTTTCGTTCAAATTATTTTTTAGAGAATGCTTATTTATAAATAAAAAAATCTTGTATTGAAAAAGACGGAAGGAAAAAAGACTAGTAGTGTGAATACATACGTGTATCGGTAAAGACAAAAAAGAACTAGTTTTGACATAGTGGTATACAGATTATGCCGCATACATTGGCGAATCCAGGAATCTTGAAATGGGGAGGGGGCAGTTTGGGGTCGGAGTAGGTTCCCTCAGTCACACACATATATTGGCCATAAAAAGGACGGGGAGTCTTTCTCCCCTTTAAATCCATGAGTGGCATACGATATGCATATTGAGAAATTCAATTATGAATAGCTGCAACATAAGGAAACACGTTTTACTGGGTCATTCACCCCCACCCCCCAAAAAAGAAAAACGCTTTAATACTAGTAACTTAATTAACGTATGGACGATATATTAATTTTACTACAGTAAAGATTTACAACTCCATCTATCCAAGATTTTAATTGATAGGAAGCGACTGTAACTTGTATAAAATTTTAAAAACCAGTTTTACAATCGAAGTGTTATCCGGCTTGTGGGAAAGGGGTGCTCTAATAGTAATCTTATTTAGAAGATTTTTTTTACATTTTATTTTTTTTTTAACCAATTACCATGATTTATAAAGATAATAAATATCCCCCCCAATTGTTTTCCAGACATAACCTTTATACTATTGAAATGATCATTGAAACCTCCAACACTGTTAAATAAATAGTAGTCAGAAAGTGTAAGAAAATAATTCTGAAAGAAATTGGAGCTATGTCATTACTTTGTCAGAGCTTTCCGTAAGAGACTTAAAATGACTAAGTAAACTTGTATTGATCATGGAAGGATTAAATATGTATAAAATATATCGTTTCTGAGAAATTAATATATTTTAAATGATTTAATCTCAAATATTATTTTCCGCTTTCCGTTCCGTTCCGCTTTCCTTTCCGTTTTCCGTTCCGCGTTTTAGCAACACCCTTAATAGTGGGACATGACAGGGGATCAAATTTAATATCCTGTTAGGATTCATTATAAACTGCTAGTCAATAAAAACAGAAAGTCAATAATTTATTTTTGTTCAGGGACTTTGTTTTATTACACACTTAGTAATAAATACAGGTTTTTTGCATATGCGATATGGCTGACGTCACAATAGCCGTATCAGCTCTCCAGGGCTGATATGGATTTGCAGGGCTGATAACCTATATCAGCCCCGCAAATCCATATCAGCCCTGCAGGGCTGATACGGCTATTGTGACGTCAATATCACAACCTTAGTAAATTAACCACAAAAAGAGTACTTGTGATCATACACAATTTTTGGTGGGTTCATATTCTCTTAATTTTAACTTTTTGAAAATAAGGTTAATCTTAATTTACAAATACATGTAATAGATTATTTTCAAATTACGATCGAGTGCATTGAAATAAAAGTAGAAACAAACCCAAATCTTATGAGACAATAGACCATGTACATGTATATGTAAGAAGTCCCTTCATGATTATTGTAAAGAATGTCAGATAAATTACTGTATACAGGGTTATTTTCACCCCGTGTTATTTTCGCCCTTTCACACTTGCAAACAATTTTGTCCCGTTATAAATTCCCCCATTATAGTTTTGTTAAAGAAATTATACTGCATTCTTTGAATTCGCATCGTTTTAAATTCGCCCAAATGAGGGTGGGGAGAAAGGGGCGAAATTAAAACAGGGGAGAAAATTTCCCTGTATACAGTATTTCTTTTGGCTAATGACTGCGACACAAAGAAAAAGATCATCTGTTTTTTAAATAGGTTTTTAATATATAAATATAACATAAAAGTGTATAAAGGTTTGGTCCCAAGTCAATGAGAGTTAACTAGCTATCCCTACTGCGTCGCGATTGGTCCTGCACTAGATATGTGGAGAATGGAATGTTGCGCAGTTTGTTCCTGATTCTATTGTTCCTCTTTCTTTCCGTGTTTGAGAATTCTCGTAAATTCTACATAATCAAACATTCCGTTCTTCAAAGGTGCTTCCCGGAACATTTCGTCAACCTGTAAGATAAAGTCGAAAGTGTATATGGATCTGACTAAAGTATAAATGCAGAGGTAGTGATTCTGTTTGATTAAACATTTATTTCTAAGTCAACTGCTTGCAATGTACAGTGTATTGATGGCAGACACACAGTGGTGCATTGTTGCCCTTTATACCGGTAATTAAATCTAACTGTATACAGCTTGGTTTTTATTATTGTAGCTTTTTTTCTTCCTTTTGAAGGAAATATTGCTATAACCTGGGTTGGAACCTTTTACACTTTTTTAAAAATCAATTTGGGGTTTATAAAGCATAAACTGCCCCAACCCAGGTTGAACAGTATAACTTGGGTACCATTCAATAGATTATAAAACAGATGTGATACACACCTCATCCTCAGTGAAGCGATCTCCCATGGTCATTAATAACTCACGAAGTCTGTCTTCGTTAATGTAACCTTCAAAACAAAAGGAATCACTGGTATAACAATATACACACAATACATTATACTCTTATAAAGGTTCTACTGAAATAAATATAACAATATATACATACATCTTACAAAGACTTTATATTGAAATAGGTACATGTATAACATTATACTCTCATTAAGGCATTGAAATAGGTATTGAGGAACCAGTTGATTCTTGTCATGGTTAATCATGTTAATTGACAGAGAAACTATAAAACTGGTTTATAGTTTATATACATAGAAAAAACAAATGAGATAATCATCATAAACCCTGCCTATATATTTGGCACTATTCATACCTTTTATCATGTTTATATTCATATTATGTTTACCTACATGCATTAACAATGTTGAAAATTTTTCATATGTCACAAACCTTCCTGTTTTATCGGGAAGTGATTCAAACTTATACTATTTACCCAAGGTTTGACTATAATTATGATCTTAGCAAAAATTTCAATACAACTTTTCACATACAACTTGTCACTTCACTGAAAGGATAAAAATAAGTGCTGCAGGGGCATTTAAAGTTAACTCACTCCTTTCCTTTTCAATCAATGTTCTGGAAATGTAAAATGTTAAACTTAAAGAGAGGAGTATCAAGAGTAGAGTTTCATGCAACATCATGTGAAGAATTCTAAAAGCCATTTATTATACACTGTACCTCTGGCTTGAAAAGTATGAGTGTATATAGTAATTGGGATTTTCGTCCATTTGTTAGCTCTGAAGTACCCATCTCTTACATGCATACGTCAACTCCTCTTATACCACTGAATGAAATTTAATGATTGGAGACTTTTGTAGAATCTTTATTTCATAGTGACCTATTTTACTTTTTGATCCAACACATACAATATGCGTCAAAGCTCACCTGATGCATCTTCATCAAAACAGGCAAAAGCGTTCTTAATAACATCCTCTGGGTCCGTGCCATTTAATTTCTCCCCAAACATTGTAAGGAACATTGTAAAATTGATAGGGCCTGGGGCACAGCTCATCATTTCTTCTAAGTACTGGTCTGTGGGATTCTTTCCTAAAATTTATAATTTTTTATTAGAGTTTTCTTTTTCCCCCCTTATTTAATAATATCTACAACTTCATGGGACTTATTACTTTTCTCTTTTTGCTCACATTCAAGTGCAATAGTGCATTATTATTTATCTCTACATAGAACTTACTTCTTTTCACCTTTTGCTCACATTATCTCAATTCACATTTTTACAAAAGCACTGGAGCAATTTTATAATATACATGTATCCTGAATCCATGTAAATTGAAAGCTTTAATTAGAATAAAAGGCGAAAATGTTTAATCTATTTTTTTGCTTGAGTTTATATACTTCTTGTGACAAGTGAATCATACCTAGAGATGCAAGCATATCTGCTAAATCTTCTTTGTCAATAAATCCATCTCTGTTTTGGTCGATCATGTTGAATGCTTCTTTGAACTCCTGGATCTGAGCCTGATCAAACATAGCAAACACATTGGAAGTGGCCCTCTGGGCTCGCTTCTTTGTGGTTTTGGATTTGGTCTTTCTACTTGACATGTTGAAATCTGCTTTAAAAAAGTTTCATGAGTTACTC